TTGTTGTATCGCGGATATGAAGTTTCGATGTACATGTAGGAACCTGTAAGCAAATGAGAAAATAAATGTTCCGGTGTAATAGAGATTTTTTTAGATGTATTATTTTGATGTGTATTCTATATATTTTGTTTGTAGTTTTAAATATTTTCATTAGAAATGTACAATTTAATTTATAAAATATAAATTCATGTCAGCTTTGTATTACCTTGTAATGTTCCATATGTGTGGTCAAAGTCAGGGCCAGTACGAGATGAGGGTGTTGATCCAGATGTCCTTATCCAATCAAAGTCATCTGATTCATCTTGTACAAAGTAACAAAGGTTTGGATCTTCGAAATCACATTGGGCTTGATCTAAAAAATACACAATACAACAAAAATTCTTCTATACTTTCCTCTACCAGCAATATTTAATAATGAGTTCCGGGAACCCTATTTCTACCAAAGATCAGCAGAATTTGGTATGAACATTTTTGATAATACAAAATAATCATCTAGTTTCTAAATCAACTAGCATGAAGTTGAACAGGTATCAACTGCATATATTCACATGTTAATAGTAACTACCAAAACATCTTATATTTGTAGTTTTAAATATTATAATATTACATTATTAGCTTCTTCGAAACTGATTTACTGCATTTGACAGATTCTCATTCAAACTAAAGACGACTTTCTAATACCTGAAAGATTTACAACATGCTTTTAGTTAATAAGTTAATACGTTTTTCTTTGAATACAATACTGTTAATATGTTAAAATTAATTAAAGAATTAAATAAACTGTGCCATTAAATAATACTAGAATATCTGCTTAAAGTTAAAATTATTAAATAATAGTCTATTTTTTTAATGTTGTCTCTATCTTATTTTCTTTGTCTTAATATCATTAATAACACGAGGACAAAATATGTAATATCACATTTGCAAACCTAAACTCATGACTGATGTTCACATCTATCTTAACGTTTGCTGAGTGTTTTTGCTGTTAACTAATTGTAAATGTTTAGTAATCTTCCTATTAAGCTGCATTCACATCGGATCCGAACAGAAATTCGCGCCGCGTTTTCGAAGGGCTGAGCTGCAGCGTCCCTGTTTCTTACACACTGATTCGTTTATTGATCGCTTGAGCAGATGTCCCGATCAGAAAATTCGGATTTGGTGTGAATCATGTTAATGCACCTTTAGTCCTGCTTTATTCATATGGCATGATAGAGGATAAACCCAGGTGGTAAACCTATACGTTTTCACAGAATTTTTATCATGATTACTGTTGCTGAGCTCCAACACTAAACGTAAAGATAGCTATTAAATATTAAAAGCTAACCAATAAAATACACTAAAACATACATAATTATGTTGCTGTCTAACTGAATTAAATAAAATGCATACTGTTTAATCTTTTTACATGGTATTCATGTTGTATAAAATGTTAACAATGTTCTGCACTCTAGGATAACTATTATATATAGCTGCATGCGTAATCCACATTTACGCCTTAACTGTAAAAGCTTACCTATATTGCATGTTGGTCCAAAAAAACCAGTCATACACTGACAGTTCTCGATACCATAATCCAAAATGACACAAACTCCACCGTTCATGCAGTTAATATCGCAAGTTTCTTCAATTATAAATTAAACATAGATTAATTAAATACTTTGTTCGTATATGTAGAGTAATATCACTCATCAAAAACAAAAACAAAAAACAAATTATTCTACTTGCACGAACACATTTTTCTTTTCTTCAGAAAACAACATTTGTCTATCAGGATTCAAGCTCAAGAGCCTTCGATAGGATTCTGACTTCTAACCAAT